GTGAAAATTTTTGTCGTGAACGTGAGTGAGCGTGAATGAAAATTGTCCAATTTACCGACACTAGTGTGGACTAATGCTAACTAATTTAATTATACATTTTTATTTTTAGTATCAACTAATTTTTCACAACTTTATCAAAAATGTTTACCCATATTATTAAAAATAATTATGATACAAATGTATATAACTTATATATCGTGCGTCTTATACTTGCAATTTGCATCAGGGTGTTAAAATAATAAATTATCATTAAATCCATCACGGTGTTTAATCTTAACCAACATGCGTCTAACACTGGCTATTTGTACCAATGAATTATAATAGTCTATTTCCTATCAAGTTAAATAAATTAAAATAATTATTTAAGAATGAATAACTAAAAAACAAAAATCAAACTAACCTTGGTCTCATCGCACGGCACAAACTCATACCTACACAACAGCTTAACTAACGTATACTTGAGCTCTAATACAGCGAATCGCATTATTTTTATCGCAATGAATATACAGAATGTTATAATTAAATTAGAGATTACATTAAGCGGTGAAACATAGTCTACACAACACTATCGGCAATCATACTGTTTGGCAGTTGTAGTCTTTGACGCGGAATATTATATTTGTTAAAACGCGAAACACGTGGTTGAATAGAATTAATACGTGTTAAATTCTGATTATTTGTGATGTTTAAATTCAATACGTTTTGATTATTATTATTAGTGACATTAATGGTCTTCTTTTTGCAGAAATTAATTTTATATTTGTGGGACAATTGTGTGATTAAATTAGTGAACATAATAACCGATACACCAAACCATAGGCCCACAAGTGATCCAATATATAACAAGTACTCTTCAAATGATAACTTCAATGATATCTCGTATAGCATTTCGGGCTCTGAGGGTAAATTTAAATCAATAAAAAAATATTGGTAACGGTATGTTTTGTCCGCGTTGTACTGAGGTATGTAATAATTTTTAATGCAGTCTATTTTATTGCATTCATTCAAACAATTTAATTCAAAATCAGACAATTTTATACACTCAACTGAACCATTAACATAAAAATGGTTCGGCTCATTAAAGCCATCATCATCTTGGTAATGTAGCGTGGTATAGGAAAAACATTTACTTTCTTGGTCAATTTGACGGATCATGCATTTCACTACGCATTCGTCAAGTATTTTGCCTTTTAAGCATTTATCGCCATTTAAGCCATGTTCCGATTATATCTCACACTTTAAATTCATTCCCTCAAAATAAAGGGAAAAAATTTAAAGAGCGTTCCCAACACATGTCCCTTACAAAAATGGAAGCGTAGTATATTATTTATTTACAAGTAATTTTAAATTGTTTTCAATTTATTATTCAATTAATTAAATACAATATTTAAATTATGAGCGAAGAAATGATATTTATTAGAGATATTATTAATATCTATAAAATATTTTTAATAACTATTGATAATATTAACAAATATATGTCAAAATCCAGTCTAATCACTGCACCGATATTGAATGTGCACATAAAACTCGCAGATAGAACTAACATTGTACTAAAATAACTACTATTGTACGTCAACACGCTTTTAAGGGAACACTTTAATAAGTGAGTGTCCCTTTATTTAAAGTGACCATAAAGTGTTCTTTACTGTTCCTATCATACCTTAAATTTAAGGGAGATACCGGTTATAGTGCCAATAGGAACATGGCTTTAGTATATAATTTAATTTGACAGAATATAACCGGTAAGAAATTGTTACAAAGTTATAATTATTAGGATTGCCGACCCAATTACCCTTGTGATCAATATCTCGTAGCCTTTCATGGGGTGAATGCACGTGAACATTTAGCTCCTGGATCATTGATATATTTTTTACTTCAAACTTAACAGCCAGGTCGCCTTTATATTTCCGGAATTTGTACTGGTAACCTTTATCTGAATCATTGCCCAACCATTGAGACGATATTGTCAAACAAAACTGAGTACTCCGTGAAGTGAGCGACCGGCGATACGCGGCCATTATGCTGCAATTTTCATAGTCATTTTTGTACCGGATTAAACAATTAAATAAATTATCAAAATCCATGAGTTCATTCATAGACTGGTTGGCGAATACATTTTGCATAAAAGTACCATTTTGGTCAACATATTTATATTTTACCTCCGGTCTTATCAGGGCTTCGATATACATGCATATTGTAAGCGCCGGTACACTCAACACATCGCTAAACATGACATTGGTGGTTTTATTATATGAGAAGTATATTAAACTGATTTCATAGGTTTGGTATAGAAATCCACACAATAGTAATAATTTCAATAATACATTAATTACTGTTGATGTGGACAACATTTTGAAATGAGATTTAAAAATCAAACTAAAAGCTAATATGCTTGATAACATATTAATTCATGATCTGCTGACATTCAAAGTTTGCACCATACAATTCAATTTAATTATTTTCTTTAATGAAACTCCGCTTTTAATATTATTGCAATAACATAAATTTAATTATATTATATTTACACTAATTATTTTATTGTTACACCCATATTAATTTTAATCTAGTATTGCATACTGTAAGCAAGGTTGCAGCTTCATAGGAAGTGTAAATGTAGTGATATCGTCAATGAAGATACACCCTTGCTTACAATATGCTAGATTACAAATCGATATGGGTGTAACAATAACATAAATATTATAATTATAATTAATATACTATAATGAAATCTCAGTTGGTGACGCACGCCATGTTATCGGTTGTTTGTTAATAAAAGTGTCATTATTAGTTTTAACCACAATTTAACCACAAGTTATTTAAAATAAAGTTATTTTAAAAATATAAACACTTAATTGAAAATAATAACTAAATTGGAGTTTAAATTGATTACTGGTCTAATGGACGTATAGAACTTGTAAGTAAAAGTTATTTTCAAGTCAATTTTGTCTTATAATTGTCTAATGTTATATTGTGTTCAGTGTCCAGTGATAGGCTATATAAGTGGTCAAAACGTATAAAAACTTTATTACGAATGAAAATATTATTAAAAATTAATATCCAGATGATAATAATACGAAATAAAGCCTAATAATCGCCAAAACAGCACTTTATCTTATATAAACTACTTTTATGTTAAATTATACAATTGTTTTAAAATTGTTTTTGGGCCACTTCCGGTCACCCAATCTGACTGTGATTTTATTCATTAATGTGTTCCTGTGATTAAGACTAATTTCAGCGATAAAATTTGCATAATGTTGTTTGGTTTTTAAAATTTTGAGATTTTTTAAATTTGTTTAAGTTATTTTAAAAATTATTTTATCGCCTTTCCGGCTATCCAATTTGATTGTAACTTCACATACAGTACTACTATATTGTACATGACCGATTGTGACATTCATTACACACTTAATTTAACTAATTTATAATTTATTTAAATTTTATATTTATATAAAACTTAATTTAAAATCAGAAGCGGTATTCGGCTTAATTGTTGAGAAAATTTTCGGTGATATACCAACATTATATTCAAAATTTTTTGTTTTTCTCTGACATTAACGTTAATTCAATGATCATTAACAGATATTGTGTTAAATTAAAACTAATTGTCTGGTAATTTTGTTTTAATTGTGTAAACATGGTGTTGACAAAAAATCCATCGAAATACCTGCGAACTATAACTAGTTATAGAAAGCCCGGGCCTTTAAGTGCTAACCAAGCCGGTCCATCAAGTGCCGGACCGAGTATTATTGTACCAGATACTCCAGGCCCGACGTCTACAGTTCCCCATACTTGTGTGGACATCAATGGCGTACGCCGAGTCCCGATAGGTAAAGGCAAAGCCAAAACTCGGCTCAGGAAGGCGACGGTGCCTAAGCGGCGTAGTGGAATCACTGTTCCACGGGTCCCGCCGCCACCAGAGACTATCCCGAGACGTCAGAAACGCAAAAACCGGGTACTAAAGGACATTAAGTACCTCCAGAAGACCACCCACACCCTAATTAAAAAGTTACCATTCCAGAGATTAATCCGCGAAATCGCCACAGACATCCTGTTCGGCCTCCGTTTCCAATCGGCGGCCATATGAGCGTTGCAAGCCACTATTGAGGGCTATATAACAGACTTGTTTACCGACGCGGGGCTTCTGGCAAAACACGCGGGCCGGGTGACAGTACAGCCCAAAGACATTCAGCTGGCCCGACGTTTATGTACTAACCAAAGTTTTTTGTATTAATTCCCGGGTCTTGGGCCCTTATGAGTTTTTCGTAATAAAAACTATTTGAATATAACTAAGTCTCTTTAATTTACTTCGGTAATTCACAGGCCCGATCGGGTCCCGAGTAGGTCAGAAAATAGGTCAAAAAGTAGACAAAAAATAGGCCATAGTAGGCCAAAAATAGACCAAAATAGGTCAAAAATAGGCCAAAAATAGGTGAAAATGACTTGACCTAAAATTCGCTCAGGAGTCCGAAAAAGTGGGTGGCAAATTATAGGAAAATTGCCGGCTTTTTCTCAACACTTAGAATTATTTAGCACAAAAAGTTCACTATTTTACAAAATTTAAAGTTAAAATAACATAGTTAAAGTGCACTTCTTGAAATGAAATCTTAAGTTATACTTTAATAGCGCAGTAAGCCTTATCATTGGTTTAGGTGTTGTAATTAAAAATAACTTACAATGACTAACCTGACGGCATGTATAGCTGGTAAAAATAACAAATAGTTAACAAAATTAAAGTTAAATCTAGTTATTATGCATATAAAATATTTGCCATTACGTTAGTGAATAAGAGAGCATGCAAGTACGACCTATATAACTTCAAAACATTATTCAACAAATAATTATAGAAGGATCCTTGCAAATCCCAAATACCTTTGCGTATATAAAACAAATTCCTATTTGCCAATTATAATGTCATAAATAGTTGGGCTCAGACAACGCCTATATGAATAATTGCTTTGCTGACCTGAATCTTATTGGGAACTGAATTGCTAATTAACAATTATCTTGCATTCAGTCTGTAGAAAGCTAATCCAACACAATAATAGGACTGAAATTACTTTGAATTTTGTTTAGCATTCAACAAATTATTATAAAAGTAACATAATATGTAAATAAAGTTAGACTGAGTAAGGTTGTCTCTGTATATGTGGTGGTATTGCCTGTGCCCGTGCTGTGAACAGTTTAAACAACGTTATGACATGAAAACTTATGTCAAATTGTTAGACAAAGTGTAGTATACCTTAAACAAACCGAACCATAAACTATGGCTTGCAATTGACGACATTGAGACCGGGATTCGATACATTATTAATAACTACCACTAAAGCTGATTAAACTTAATTATATTATAATTGTGAAATAAACTAATTACTTATATAAAATGTTGTTTTTGTCTATCGATAGGTCCGTGTACTGCAAATCTGTTCGGTGTACACAAATAGTGACAGGTAAATAAACATTATTTTCAAATTGTAATGTTAGTTACTAACAGCAAAATTGCTCACTGACTCCCGTTTGAATTAAACTATTAACAAATGTAATGTCATGAATACAATAATGAATGTATAACTCAGGTCATAGTGATCGCACAAAGATCAGATTAGTACTTGTGCGTGACCTATAATCTGAGGTATAGCATTTAAACATCGCGAGATGTGTGATATTATCACTATCTTATCTAATCACTGTTCGAACAAATACAACAAATCATTATAATAATCTTTAAATGTATACATTGTTAAATAGAAATACACATGTGTAAATAATTGTTAACATAATAGTTAATATGACCGATGGCTAAGCTATTATTATAACTATCATAACTTATACCCAAATAATTAATTGTACTTATTAAAATGTGTTAGAATTATTAATAATCAAGTTATTATTGTACTCACTATAATTATATCAACCAATACAAATTGTACATTTTATTTAACCATTATAATACTTAATTATCTTAAATCAATAATTGTTATTATACTCTTTATAATTGATGTATTACATGTAGTTACTAGAAAGCATGGTAAGAGTTACTATATAATATAAATTATCTATATTGTTAATCATTTTGACAACCAATGTCAAAATTGTGAACTAATATACACAATGAATAACCGTTATTAGATTATAATAATTGTGCTTAAGTCATCATTATATCAATACGTAATTGAACGAAACTAGCATCCCATGGGAAGTTTTTGCAAATATGCATAATGTATTTGCGTTTTGATACCATGAGTTTCTGACAATATGTGTTACTCTTATAATTACTATTGTAATTAAATCATTATGTAACTAAAAGCTGTGACTATCTTAACCCGAGGACGGATTAACATTTAGGATGGACGAGATGGAACAGCATTTTATAGGCCTAGACATATCAGCGCCAATCACCCCATCAAAATGCTGTTCTGCCTTACCACCTGCATTCCCTTTTTGTTTTTACTGAAATGGGCCCGGAATAATTAAACGACTCGCTCGTTAATCTTCATATGGATCCCGTTTTTTTAGTCGTTTTATTTGTCTCTGAACTCATTCTCATTTTTCATGCCCAACCCTGTCATAACTAACCAATCAGTAGACGAGCTAATTTGGGTAGCGCAACTCATACAGCATGAGCCCCTCCTTTACTGAACGCCACCTACCCGGTATAAAACCGCCCTTCAACCCAAAAGCCAGCGGCTTGTGGTTCTAGACTTCGTGATCAATTTGTCTTTGACTCTAAGTCAAAGACCACCGACTTAAGCCTATAGTATGTGCCGCCTCGGCCTGAATTGAGATACTCACAGCTCGCCAACTTACTATTAACCCTCACTAACTATTCTCATCTAACTTTTATTGTGACTAATATAAACTCTAAATAAAAGCGAATATTTCGTTGAAACCCTAATTGTGTTATAAAGAAGAATCAAGATCCGAGACGGTACGAAGAAAGGCAACCTAAGCGACCACGTCCAAAGCTAAGTACGCCACCCGTGGACTCGTAAAGGTAAAGTCGAATTCCGCTCAATACTCTGTTAGACATGGATAGGGGGAGTGACGATCAAAGGCCGTACCCGAGCATGAAGAAGACGCAGCCTAAGATCACATATGGACTCGGGGCGACCCAAGATCGTTACAATATGTAATATTACAAATATTATTTATGCCTTATTTTTGTAATTTATTTGTATACAATATTTAATTTTAACAATAAACCATACAACATTAATTTAAATATTATAAATAAAAACCAATAATTAATAAATAATAACACTTTTATAGCACTATTACTCTTCAATCAGTACTCAACCAGAATATCAATAGAATTTATATATTAATTCTACATACATATAAATAAAATAATATTTAATTAATGAATTAAATATATAACGTGCAATAATTTAAGCAATAATGCACGTGTTGTGATGTTGTTTGAAGCCATGCAAAGCATTCAAATACAAAATATGACTTCAAACAAACCATTAATTAATCTACTAATCCCAGGCACAATCAAGTTAGTTTATTAATAAATCATAGTAACGACCCATTTAATAGATAAAAGGACATTAGGGACAAACAGATTCACGCATATTTTATTTTGTCAATTGATTAAAAATATATATTAAAATGCTTAAATTTTACATGTGGTAAACCTGACCAATTTCTTATAAACAAGACATTAGATCTTCCATTGTAAAGACCTACAGTATATTATTCATACAGATGACTGAGGTGGCAGATATTTTTGCCGCTTTTTCGCTTAAATGGCAAAGATTGATTAAAAAAGCTTATTAAGATTATCAAATATTATATGTGGTAAACCTGACCAATTTCTTATCAACAAACAATTAGAGGTACCATTGTAAAGACTTATTAGATAAATAGAAATGACCTTAGTGGCTAACAGGTTGACGCATATTTTATTCAATTTTGTCAAAGGTTGATTAAAAACGCTTATTAAGATTTTTAATTTTACATGTAGTAAACTTGACTATTTTCTTATCAACAAAAGATATGAGGTTCCATTGTAAAAACCTATATATTATGCATAAAGAATTAATGAGGTGGAAGATATTTTTGCCACTTTTTTGCTTAAATAACAAAGATTGATTAAAGATATTTATTAAAATTATCAAATATTATATGTGGCAAGCTTGACCAATTTCTTATGAACAAAAGATTAGAGGTTCTATAGTAAAGACCTATATTATGCATACAGATGAGTGAGGTGGAATGTATTTTTGCCGCTTTTTCTCTGAAATGTCATAGATATATTTAAAAAGATTATTAAGATTTTTAAATTTTACATGTAGTAAACATTGACCATTTTCTTATGATAAAAAGATGAGAGGTTCCATTGTAAAAACTCATTAGATTAATAGAAACTATCTTAATGGCAAACAGATTGACGCATATATTATTCAATTTTGTAAAGGGTTGATTAAAAAGCTTATTAAGATTATTAAATGTGGTAAACTTGACCATTTTATTATGAACAAAAGATTAGAGATTTCATTGGAAGACCTATATTATGCATACACCTGTTTAAATATAACAATACAACTCTCCAAATTAATAATATTTCGTGATAATTATCTAAATTAAAATAATGATTAATTAATTGTTTATGTTGTTTCAATAATTTAATTTAATTAAAATAATAATAATTTTATACATCAATTAAAATCGAAATTAACTTATGTTTATTTTGTTTTTACAGACTGTAAATTTACATTATAAGTTAACTTAATACAATTAAATAATATAAATATGTAAGTAATAAAGGAGATAATAGCTATTTTTAATGCCAACACTTTTTAGTGAAGGCCAGGTCTATATTTATAAAATGCCATAAAAAATATCCAAAAATTATTTAATAATTTTATTATAATATAATATAAATAATAAACAATTTTTTGACTTAAAATAAATAATTACAATGAAGTCGCTAATATTTTATAATTTAACATTTTACTAACAGTATGATATGGAATATTTAAACACTTTAAATTTCAATTATTTTTCCATGCTCATAAACTGTAAATTTATAATTAAAGTATATTATGTGGTATAAATATTTTATCGTACATATACATAATG